AAGGCACTACACAGCGACACAGTCCAATTTACCACCTCAATTCAGCTCTGAACCCTTGGAGGAAAAAAAGAGGGTGGGTTGAGTGCTGTGGTGGGCCCCATTGTTGTCAGCAGGGTGAACATTCCCCCTCTGCATTGTCCAGCCCATCTCCAATACCTGATACCAGGCAGGGGCCACGTAGGCCCTGCATTCAGGTCATCCAGGCCCCACACCTCCGGAAAGACGGCCTCCCAGCCTCAGCCGGGACATTCACATAGTAGTTTTTCATAACAAAAATCTTGCCGTAAGTTACGTAACAAATTTCTGCAACGACAATGGAGTCCAAAAAGCTCCATTCTTGAGAGGGTGTGACCCCAGTGGCAGGGCTGGTCCAGGCTCCAGCACACACTTAACTTCTGGCATCGAGCTAGGCTGATCTTCAAGGCCAAAGGCAGGCATACCATCCCGGCAGCCACAGAGGCCTGCACAGGTCATGCACTCTCTGTTTTCACCGAGCGGGCATGCATGACCCCACTGCCATGGCTTGTCAAGACTCCGGCACACAATCACTTCTGGTACTTCTGGCGTCGAGCCAGGCTGCTGGTATTCAATGCTGAAGGCATAGCATCCCATTAATTAGAGAGGTCGGCACGTGTCAGGCCCAGCCTTGTGAGCTGGACCAGGCACTAGTCAGTCCGATTGCACAGATGGTGAATCGGTGGACAGTGTGGGAGTGTGTCAGCGAGGAGACCTTACTTGACCAAGGATTTATCAGACATGGGGTCTCGCTCCACTACTCACTACATGCACAGTGTGGGAGTGTGTCAGAGAGGAAACGTTATTTGACCAAAGATTTATCAGACATGGGGTCTCGCTCCACTACTCACTACATGCACAAAAGACAAAAACTATGGTGATGTATCCTTCTTTGACCAAAGATCTATCAGACATGGGGTCTCGCTCCACTATTCGCTACATGCAAAAAGGACAACAACTATGATGATGTATCTTTCCATGTTCTAGTTGAAGATTCATTCTCATTTTGCACATTTGGTGAGTAGTGGAGCGAGGACCATGGTTGGAGACGTAATGTAGAAGACAGCAAGACAGAGACAGAGGACAACAGACAGAGCACAAGAGGTTAAAAGCAGAGACGTTGAAGAAGTAGCACAGAGGAAGCCACGAGCTGGGCAATAAGAGTCCAGCATCTCATGCAAGCAAGAGCGATGGAGTTAAGGGTCAGTCCCTGCTGATTGTACATCCGTGTTTCGGACGCACAAACCTGGTCCTAATCATGGTCACGTTCGTGCTTCATTACCATTAATATAGCACCACTGGGGTCCGGACCTATCCGGACATCTGTGTGCTTCACTGACATGACTGGTATACAAGGGGCATAAGAATCCATGTCCACAAAATACCACAAATGGTACTTGACAAAGCCCCCAGAACCGAAAAGAGGAAATGGATCTGGGTCAACTGATTGCACCGACAGATAAGATGGCGGCACTGGCCTGACTACGAGCATACTCACACTAGCGACTTTTTTTACCCTCTGGACTTAATTGCAGTCAGATTCATCCAGGTCTGGCTGTAATTGCAGTCAGATACATTTAGGAAACGTGCTAGCATCAGTACGTGTTAAGAATCTCTGAACATGAGTTGAAGTCAGTCATCCAGACAAGATAGTCTTCAACTTACGTTCAGAGATTTTTAGAACATACCTTAAAAAAAAAAAAAAAAAAAAAAAAGAACATACTCGTACTTGTATGAAGCGGATGAATCTGTGACTGCAGTTACGTCCAGAGCTAAGTCCTGAACTCATGTAGAGACGAGTGATGATAATACGGGGTGATATGAAGCCCACGATCATCTCGTACGTACTCTATTCTCAAATCGTTTTCCCCTCAATCACTGACCGACTCCTGAGTCCTACAGAGTCATATTACGAGAAAAACGTCCAATAAGGTAAGTTCTTCCAATTTTCAGTCTTAATGAACTAGACAATTTGGCATTACTTCTCATGGAGGATGCCGCACTTGCACGACAAGCATTCATGACCGACAATCGCCTCAACAACCGTGATGCCCGTCTGCTAGGTCCGCTCAAGGGAGTCAGGAAGGCCGAAGTTTCTTTTAGCAATCCTTTCCTAAATATTGTGTTCGCCCCAATCGTATTCTCAAATCGTTTTCCCCTCAATCACTGACCGACTCCTGAGTCCTACAGAGTCATATTACGAGAAAAACGTCCAATAAGGTAAGTTCTTCCAATTTTCAGTCTTAATGAACTAGACAATTTGGCATTACTTCTCATGGAGGATGCCGCACTTGCACGACAAGCATTCATGACCGACAATCGCCTCAACAACCGTGATGCCCGTCTGCTAGGTCCGCTCAAGGGAGTCAGGAAGGCCGAAGTTTCTTTTAGCAATCCTTTCCTAAATATTGTGTTCGCCCCAATCGTGTTCACATGCTCAACCCTCTGTAAACTGAATATTTTAGAATGCCCTACGCACACTTCGACATGTCAGAAAAGCCAACTCGTGGGCTTAAGAAGCATCACCGTGGTACCCAACCCATCGCCATTCACATGACTAACCTCTCGTAAATGTCGTAAACTCACTTGTGGAATGTCCTACACACTCTAAATTTTTTGTAGTCATCACGTTGAGTAAGGTAAGCATAAGGCTGAAACCACCAGTACTTTTGACCCTTGCCTTGCCGAGCCTGGAAACGTCCTGCGCGCCGAAAAAAAAGGATCCAGCGTGGGCCTTCTTTTTGGCGATGCCGTCGCCAGCCATTTTGTTTCAGTAGGATGGCTCCCTAAACTTGCAGTGTGAGCACGGCCACGTCGAAAAATGGCTGGGAAATGTACTGGTGGTTTAACAATTGTCACCCTCTGTTCCCCCTCTCCCTCCACCCCCCTGTCCCCCCTTTCTCCCACCAGCTCTTGCATCCCTGCATCTCCTTTTTCCCCCCCCCTCTCTTCTCTACCTGCATCTTGTCATTACGAACCCTTTCCACATCTCCCTTAGAACCGCCAGTACATCGGCCAGGCAAAATTGAGAACCGAAATCGAGCAATTCGGAAATTTCAGGGGCTCAGGACTACCAGACCACAATGGCTGGCGGCACCAGCCAAAAGAAACAAAGAAGTGCACCGAACCAAAATCAAGCCAATTCAGAAATTTCAGGGGCTCAGGACTACCAGACCACATTGGCTGGCGGCACCAGCCAAAAGAGAAAAAAATGTGCGCCGCTGGCAGTTCGGCAAAGCTTGGCGCGCAGAGTTCATCCACCAAGCCGCAAAGAGGCCCGAATGTACTGGTCCTTTAAGAAATGTTTGTGGTACCCAGCCCATCCAGCTGAATGGTACACACATGTCGCCGGTAATTAACAATTCATAAATTTGAAAACTTTGAAATTTGACTCGGAATGCATAATATCAGGGGCCACCCTTTTTTCCTTCAAAAACAAGAGGAGGACTGCCATTGACATGATAAGGGTGCTTTTGTGACACCCACCCCCAAAAAATCGCCGCCAAAATCGCTGTCATGATCAGAGGTGCCCAGTCGTTCTAGAGAGAGGTTGGCTCCACAAGCCAGTTATCCTGTGGTAACTTTTCTGACACCTCTAGCTTCAAGTCTTGAAACGCTAAAGGATCGATAGGCCATGCTCTCACAGTTTGTATTCATACTGGAAATCATAACTTCGTTGCAACGACAAATGTGCCATCGTTGCTTACCCACTAACAACTGGATTATTAATAGATCTACCTTAGAACAGACAGCTATTGCCTCAGCGCTTCCTACTTTCAGAGTACCCTGCTTCTTCTTCTTTTTCTTCTTCTTTTTCTTCTCCTTCATCTCTGGTTGGGGAAGTTGGTGGTGCTGCAAGGCTGATCTTGGGAGAAGCTCCCTGAGGAGTACCAGAAACGCAGCCTGGCTGAAACCTGTCGGGGAATATGCTCGTTTCTACTAAGAACTGTACATGCAGAAGTGAAATGTCTGTCTATGGTTGCAGGTACAAGAAACAGTCTATGGCCACTGTTTTCACTATTCTTCTTCTTCCTCTTTTTCTTCTTTTTTCATCTGCGTCTTCTTCATTTTCCTTTTCCTTTTCCTTTTCCTCTTCCTCTTCCTCTTCTTCTTCTTCTTCTCCTCCTCCTTTTTCTCCATCCTCCATCATCCGGTCTTCGAGCATGTTGCTAGGTAGCATGCTCAGAATCCTTGTCGGGCTTGCCGCCCTCTCCGTCTTTTTTCTGCTCCTTCTGCTGCTGCTGCTCACCCTCTGCTTCCTTACTCATGAAGTATAACAAACACATGAGGCTGGCAATCCCTGCCTCACCTCTCAAGACACCCACACGCCACACACCAAAAGTTCCCCTCTCCAACCCCCACCCCACCCCCACCACCGTCTTAAATTTTGATGCATGCCCAAAACATCCACCGATGGGAGCCCGTGGCTGTACAGATGCAAAAAGTTGGCATGCCTTTTTTGTTGTAGCTACCCAAATTGGCAATCTACTGATCAGCTGAGCCTGACTGGTGAGCCCACAATCACTGGTCATGAAAGCCAAATGCAACTCTGCGTACCAGACTCTTTGCGGTTAATCAAAACTGTGCAAAGCGCAACCAATCTTGCGTTTCTCTAGTGAGCATGTGATACCCTTCTCCATCAATTTGTCCATAGCATGAACAATATCTTGAAATGTCCTGCCAGCTTACACTACGGCGCTACAGCACAACTGCAAAGATTCAACAGGGAGCCATCGGACACACCCCACAGTTTTACCCCAAACACAAGGCACCCTCATCAAGATTGCATCGGACAGGAAACATCACTTGCATACATTTGTGATGATGAGGGTACGTTGTATTCAAGTGAAAATGCTAATTCCCGAACAACGAAAGAAAAAAACAGGGAACGAGAGGTACGGTGTGTTCGAGGGAATCCTGAACGACGAAAGAAAACAAGGAATAAAACAAGGAACGAAAAAAAGGAAAAGGAGGGACAGTCATACCTGGTTCATCGCCTCAAAAGGAGGATGCCCTGTTGCCAACTCGAAAACAAGACAGCCAAAAGCCCAAACATCCGTTTTATGGTTGTATGGCTTGCCTTCACATAATTCCTGGACAGCAAGCATAAACGATTTCATTCCGTAAGGTAGGAAATCCTTCAAGATAACCGTAGGCAATCCTTCAAGATAACCGTAGGCAATCCTTCAAGATAAGTTCTTGTTTGCAGCATAGTAGAGCATACAGATTAGATACTAGGAACAAAATGCAAGGAATATGAGCGACAGCGCTAGACAGAAATCCAAATTGCAAAATCACGCTGTAGTCCAGATAGTCATGTATGTCAGCCCCCCGATGTCAGCTCTCTCCTCCTCACCACTACATCCGCTCATCAACTCAACTATAGCAGACCAGTCACCACTGTCTGCACTAGTGTCGTCGCTGGTACCTACCACAGCATAGGATCTGACTGACTTGATTTTTTTTATTTTTTTTTATTTTTTTTAATTTGGACCATTTCTCGATTTACGTGTGTCATCCTTACTTGTGCAGGGGCAATGCTAATCTTCTCTGTATCCTTCCAATTTTAACGGATGTCCCGAAGGACGGATCTGACCGACTTGAAAGATAAATAAATAAATAAATATTTGGTCCGATTATCAGAACGCAGTTCAGGCGGTGTGAACAGAAAATGTACAGGCTCTGCAAATGATCCTACTTCTACTTTGATCAGTTCTCGAACAGCAGCAATAAGCAGAACTGACAATGGTAGACTACTACAGTACTACTCTATTGATGTCTGTCAGGTGTCAGCAGTCTGTAAACACCTCAACTAATCAAAATAAAAATAAAATCACTTCTGCAGATGCATGGAGGATGGAAACATTCATGATTGTGTGCAAGCACCAATTGGAACCTTTCCTCCCCTGTATCCGACGATTCTGTTTTGCACCATCAAGCAGCGGTGTCTAAGGAGTGCTTATCGGCCCACCCCTGTGCCCAGGAACCCGTTTATGGCCAGATCTGGGCTTTCTTTATCCTCGCGTGCAACGAGCCTTACTCTGACAACCTGGCTGATCAAGAGGCAATTTAAGGACATCCCCCGAAGTCCTCAGGAATTATTTAACGTCGCAAACAGGGCATCGATCACAGCCAGGTGTCAGATCCCCACCAGAGGTTCTTTATAGACGGTCTAGTAAGTGTCTCACATAGGACTGGCCAGTCCACGATCCCTCTATAGCGCAGCAAAGAGCTCAAAGGACAAAGCAGCAAAGCCTGTGTGATCTACTCCCGTGGGTTGGCATGGTGACCGTGACCCGTGCTTCAACCAGGGCCCTTCAGAGACACCGCCCTCTCCTGCCAGATGTGCCACCAGGAAGAATGTCGACTCTTGAGGTAGAGCGCTCACCACTCCTCACCGAGCAGAAGACTCTCAAGCCAAACTCTCTTCCTCACGATAAGAAGAGATTGAGATTGGAAGATAAGGTATGGGAACAACATACCTGAAGATTGCTACTCGCAACCACAGATTTCTCACCACTTGAGCCGACGTGCATTTTGCTGACCGGTCATAGCCTCGGTACCACACACGACATGACGGAGTGCCACCTCAGCCAAAATGCCATCTCAGCATGCTCTCATCATTCCACCTATATCCACTGTTGCCACAGGAAACAATGTTGTTGCCACAGCCTTCCGGTCCCAATCCCCTCTACCCGTGATGGACCAATACAGCCAGCATCGAAGTATCCTCACTGGGTAGAAGCTTCGTCAGCCCACCAAGTAACCAAGATGCCAGAGCCAGGGATCGGTGATCTATGAACCAGCTCTGATACCAAATTGCAAGGAAATTGAAGGAATATGAGTGAGAGCGATAGACAAAGTCCAGATTGCCGAATCACGAAGTAGCCCAGATAGTCATGTACCAAGCAGAGAGCACAATGCACCAAGGTACCGTCAAATAAGAGCAATAGAATGAACTCATATGTCAACGTCGACGCTCTTGGTCTCACCAACACAGCATCCAATGTCGCTCCTACTATCTGGCGCCCAGCGCCCAGCCTACACTACTCGGCCTATCTATGCCTATCTACGTTCATGCAACTGGCTCACATCGATGTCGAAGACCAATGTACATGACGTTATCACCAATGCAGACCGCCAGCATACGCCAGATACGTTCTCTCTCCTCTCACATCACCCCTTGACTTCCCACAGTGTGCATCCCCGACAACCAAGGACCACCATCACCATCACCAGCCTCCGCTGAGCAAGCGCCGCTATGCCTGCTCAGTGCCCGTTGCAGCACCAGCTCCCAACACCACAATGTTCCCGTGTGCGCCTCTTCCTGCCCTTGGCCTACCAGCGGCCTCCAGCGCTCAAACCAGCAGCGCTGCCGCCAGCAAGGACACGGCCAGAATCCCCCCTGGCTGCCGTACTCACTTCCCTTTATGGAAAGTGAGCTCTGCTTTGTCGAGCTCTGGGCCTGGCTGGACGAGTTTCCAGTAGCTTCCAGTCGGGCCCCAGTGTCTGCACCCACGCCCTCAGTTGCTGTTACGGGCCTGGGCCCTTTACGGTTGGGCACGCCCAGGTAGCCCATGAGGCTGCAAGTGTTCGCCGCGATCTCATTGGCTGCTGGCCAGTATGTGACGAAGATTCTGCATTCCCATTGGCCCGCGGACGCTCTGTGATGTGTCGGCCTCTGGTGGCTCGCGCCCAGGGCCTCAACTGTACGTGCCCTGGGCTCAACTGCCTCTCGAGCTGCTGCTTCCGGAAGAAGCCAGGGAAAGGCTCACATTACCCTGCAACCAACTGGCGTGCTCCAACGGTCTGATACCCCACATGCAGAATTGACAATAATAGGGCGGGCACAAGTCTGTACGGGGCCTCAGCTGAGATGTGGGGTGAGCCGAAGAAAGGCCACTGCGCAGATTCAGGCCTGCATATAGATACCAACAGCCCTTTAGCCTGATCACACTGGCCTGTACCCAGGCCTTGGCACATATTAGCAGGCCCGCCTTCACTTAGGGCGGGCAAGACCTTTTCCAGCACTGCCGAGGGCTCAAATCCTCGCACCTGCATTTCTGTGCTTTTTTATTCCCATCTTCTGTGATCAATGTCAGCGCTGAGGTTCTTCCCTGTCTACTGGGCAAGCTGAGGCCAGCTGGGAGTGGTCAACCCGGTACCGGCCCCACCAGGCAACATCTTCCAGAAACTGCCATGGGCCAGAGATTGTCCGGATGGCATATAATCAGCTGGGACTGGTTCAATCCATTACCGGCCCCACCGGGCAGCACCTTCCAGAAACTGCCATTGGTCAGAGATTGTCCGGATGGCGTATAATAACGTCCATCTATCCTTCTATTCGGGCGGGAATACACCCCATCGGACCCCTTTTGGGCTTTGCCTACTCCGGATGCCTGCACCTGCCATCTTCCCCAGGTTCAAGGGTGTGAGTACTCATTGGGTAGTAGCATGGCTGCAGTTGGCAACCTGGCACGATATTTACCCTCGAGTACAGCCATTCTCCATGCCGTCTGTCTACCGGAGAACAGCACCAGTCTCTCCGAATTTCTCTTTTCCTTTCTCCATACTCTATAATTTTATTTCTTTATCATTTTCTGTTTTTTGGGCAGCGAGATGACCATTGGAAAATGGAGTACCCCCTGTCCACCCTTGCACACCAAGTTAGATCCGATAGGTGTGCATTTTATGCACCCCTCATTCAGCCGAATGATGAGCACCTTCCTGCAACCCGTAGCAGCCTCACGAACAGCTGACACGAGCACTAAACCGTCTTCTGACCTTCTCTTCTCCCAATCGCTGATCCTGCTCCAGAACTGTCATTTCAGTGGCAGACAGGTGCAGCGTGCTTCTATATATCAGGGACGCCAGCCCTCACAAGTGTCTGGAGAGATTTTTACTGACATTCGATTATCTTAGCTCTGACAACACGGTGCTCAGGTGGTGACATAACAGTGAACTACTCACCCAGAACTACTGCATGAGAGGGGGGGG